TTAAAATTATAACTCTAATTCAAGCAGAATAGCCTATTGTCAACATAATTATGGAGTGTGGTTTATTTTCAACTCAAAATATCTTCAAACTAACGTAATATAAAGTTATCAGGGAGGAAAATCTGTCTGGATAACAGCAGACTGACTGCTTGTAAAATATACGACAGGTCTGGACCACTCGTGAATTTTGTTCGTATCTGAAATAAATCTTAGAATACGAAAACATTGGTGAATGTCACAAATTCTCCTAAATCACTCGTACGCACAATTTAAGAACAAATCTGTGCGTACGAACGGTTCTTGCATGAGGCCCAATGAGTCTAGAAACTGTTTTACTGAGGGAAGCTCCGTTAGTTCGGGTTGACTATACAGTTTCCTGTAATATATTTCAAATGATTTATGTAATTCGTCAGGTGTAAAACACATCTGGTTGGAAATGGGATTTTTAATTTTATAGATGGATCGGTCTAGTTGTTGTTGTTTTAATCGCCAGGCTAATATTTTTTTTGCCCGAGGTCCATTTTCATAGTAAGTTTGTTTTGTATATTTGAGATTAAGTATCACCTTATCATTGAGTTTGGTATTTAAATCCGCTCTTATTGCAGCAATTTGCTGTAGAAGATTGGGGTCTTTGGTTTCAACATGCTTCAGCTCTAAAATGTTTAACTGTTTAGTCAAGTCACTAAATTGCTCAGATTTCTCTTTTTTCTTCCTTGATGCCCACATTATGATTTTCCCACGCAGTACTGCTTTTCCCGCATCCCATAATATACTTGGGGACATTTCATTGCTGTTATTAAAATCTATATTTTCCATAAGTTCCTTGTTAATAAATTCCTGAAATTTGTTATCATTCAATAGAGCCGTGTTAAGTCTCCATATTGTTGTCTTGGGATGAGAATCTAAATATAGTTTCAAATACACCCCAGAGTGATCTGACACATCCCTAGTACCAATACTACAGTCTAGAACCATGTATCTGTCTGCTCTAAATAGGAAAAAATAATTAATTCTTGAGTAAACTCCATGAGGGTGAGAGAAAAAAGTGAACTCCCCAGCCAATGGGCGGCATTCCCTCCATACATCAACCAAGCCAATCTTTTTAATCATTTTTTATATATACAGAGATTCTGGGTTGATCTTTTTTAAAGGGTTTGAGGAATCCAGGTAAGGATGCAGTTGTGCATTCCAGTCCCCCCCACATATCAAAACACCAGCTGTTTCAACCACTATAAGATCAAATATTTTATCAATGTGTTTTGTCATGTCCTGGAGGTCTATATACGTTGAGTAAAGTTACTTCATTTGAGTCAAGTGTTCCCCTTACCAAAACAAAATGAGCTTCTTTATCTGTAATTTGTTTGGATACCTGAAAGTTCATATTATTTGCAATTAATATTGACACGCCCCTAGAGTGTCCATTTGAGTGGGAGGAATAAAATGTCTTTATAAAACCCTTTTTTTTATTTTTCATGGTTCTCATTTGTTAAATGGGTTTCTTGCCAGAAGATTATTTGTTGCTGTTCTCTCTTCATCTTAGCTATAAGCTTTCCTCTTTTAATTGGATTCTGTAACCCGTGTACATTAAAAGTTATAAATTTAAATGGTTGTTGGAACATAAATCTTTAAATGAATAAATCCCTCTAACTTACACATCCAAGGTGACAACAATAAAACATTTACAAAACTCAAAAACATACAACCTGGAACTTGAAAAAGTACAAAAGGAACGACTTCCAACACAAAACGACTCATTAAGGAGTCCTTGATGAAGAGAAAGGCCCTCATGAGGCTCTTCTCATGGGGGTCTCTCCAGTGCTAACTGACCTAGCTCGGTACGAGTGTAAGCTCAGTGCACAATCAGAGCCTTTAAACTGGCTCCCAAACAACAGTCAAGTATCTACTTTTAAATCAGTAACTTATTTCTTATTATTAGCGAAGGTTAACTTAAGGGTTGTTATAATGGTGTCTGACACAGTGTCTCTATACAAAAATGTTCAGTTCTTAGTCCACACTCTGGATCAGATCACTGTGATTGTTTATCTTACTGCATAAGTTTAAACGAGAGGCGCGTTTGGAGAAGCGGCAGCGTCTCCAGCCTCATGACGAAATCCGCGGAGTTTTTTCCGTGCTCTGTCTCCGTGTGCATCGGGGTTACTTCGTTTGGCCTCCTCCGTCACCCAGGACAGTCTGTCCAACTTCTCCATCTGCACTGCCGTGTGGGAACCATCGTTGCTAGTAGTGCAGTCAGGGGCGAGACCCCTGTTCTGCAGATCCTTCATGGCGTCCGCCGCGGTGCTATACGTGATCGGGCCACCGTCAAAAAACACACAGAGCTTAGCCGGCGGTGGGGTTTGGAAGCGGAGACCTTTTTCTTTCAGAAGTTTTCTGATAGGGGCGTGACCTTTCCTCTTCTTTAGAGTCTCTGCTGGATAGTCCTGATCGAAATAAACCCGCTGCTGGTTGAGGCGAATTTTCTCTTTTCTTCCACGCGGTGCAAAGCACCAAATCCCTGGTTCTAAATGCCAGAAAGGAGATCACCACGGAGCGGGGGCTCGCATTCTGCGGTGGTTTGGGACCCAAAGCCCGGTGGCAGCGTTGTATAGCCAGGTCGATATCTTGGAGTGACAGCTCAGCCTTAATGAAACCGTCCATAAATTCCAGCAGATTATCTCCCTCTGTATCTTCTGGAATCCCGTACACACGGATATTATTTCTTCGTGAGCGTGCTTCCAGTCAGTTTGGCTTGAATTTTATCTTGGTTGTTAATAGTTTGAGACAGCACCTCTTTCGCCGCTGCGGTCCACTCCTCCATTTCTGCCACACGTTGTAAAGACTCCTCCGTTCTCTTTTGATTCTCTTTTATGTCCGACACAACTTCATTTAGTTTTCCATTAATCTCCTCTTGAAAATTTCTTAAATCTCTCTTCATGTCGGCGGTAAAGTCATCACGAAAGCAGCACAGCTCTTCCTTCATGTCTTTATGGATAGCTACGATCTCTTTGTGGATAGCTCCGATGCTAGCTTGAAGCCCCTCCACAGCCATGTGCTGGTCTGATGTGCTTTCGTCGAGTAATGAAGTTCTCTCGCCCGTTTCTTCTGTCTGTTTTGATTTCCCGTTACCTTTTGATGCTTTTCCCCTTTTCATCCCAAAATAGTCGGTCTTAGTGGGTTAACTCAACTCTGGGAAAGGGGATTTAGCCGACCGAGTTGGGAGCTCTGGTTCAATGCGTCTGCTCACCTCAGCGCCATAACCGGAAGTCCGAAGAAAAGATGTTTAGTGGAGGGAAACAGCGACACAGACAGAGGTACAGTGAAAGAGAAAAGTTAATAAGCAGTGTTTGTACATTTTATTATCAGCTGAGCTGTGATGAAAAGAAAAATATCGTGATATACCGTGAAACCAGTATAAATGTTGAAAAATACCGTGATATAAAATTTTGGTCATACCGCCCAGCACTAAGTAAGCACCTCTTCAGTGACGTGTATGGTTAGATTTAATGTACAACGACAATATGGAGATGTTAATGCATGGAGACTTTATCGTGCTTCTATTGTGAAAAGCCCAGGAGAAGTAGTTTTGTAGTGGAATTGAGTTGAACGGTGTGAAAGCTGAGTCATCTTGTTAAGTTTTATTAAAAAACAACCCAATAATGATCTTTTCTCAACCTCCTTCACGACCGGACCAAAATGCATAACTACTGTCTCAACCAGACGGAGAAGGAAAGACATGTAGAGGAAGGAAACAGAGACACAGAGGTACAGTAAAAGAAAAAGTCAATTAGCAACATTTGTACAATTTATTATCAGCTGAGCTGTGATGAAAAAAATACTATGATACCGGTGTAAATGTTGAAAGTACCGTGATATAAAATTTGGGTCATACTGCCCAGCACTAGGCACAACTATGAATCTTTAACCTCCTAGACTGTTTATTTAGTTTGCAAAGTGCTTGTGTTTTATGACCTGATATAAGACAAGTGGGAATAGCAGATAACAGCCCTCAAACAATTCTTGCCCTGATTTTGAACTTTAAAGCATTGACAACAGGAAGTCACATTCGTCTCTCTACATAATAAACTTTTAAATAGCACTGCGGCTGTGTAGAGGGTCAGTTCATATTACTGACATATGGTTGTTCCTTGTTTGTACAGGAATTCATCGCTGAAAATAAATCCAGCACAATAACCAGATCTGCTGCTCGTTCGTCATGCCTTGTGTCGAGTGTCTTGATAATCAATTTATCTAACAAGTTAAAACCAACCCTACTTTGATTCAGTGACTTTTTCTCTGGACTCATCTGTTCAAACCTTTATAAACAGGACAGAAGTTTGATGTAAATCTGACTCACCCGCTGAGCAGTGCTGCAGATAGCGGAGTAGCTGTCTCTGGTTCCCTGCAGGTGAGTCTGGACTTGTTGACTGATCTTAGCATGAACTTGAACTTGCTCTGAGCAGCTGGAAACAAGACCTTCTCCTTTCTGTTTCAAGCTGATGAGACACTCCTCAAAACTGGCTATTTCCTCCATTATGGCCTAAAAACAATTACAACAGCAAAAGAGGAGAAGAGGATATCTGTCTGGATGAGTGGAAATAAACATTATTATTAATATATTATAAAGATTTTATCAACCAGCTATAGTAATTGCTCCAGTGGAACATAATTTAACATTTTTGAAGTATTTAACTCACCTTGTGTCGAGCAAGTTGCTGAGTCACCATTTCCATATTGCTGGTTGGCATAGAGTCTGAGGTAACAAGCCTACTGGACATGTGGAGCAGCCATTTCTCCACTTCCTGTAACTCACTGTTGTAATCCTCGTGCTCCTTTACCCACTCCACAAGGTCCTGAACATGAGTCTGAAGAAAGCACAACAATCACAGAAGAGGGGTCAATACCAGCAGACCATAAAGACTCACGATTCTTTAAAGGAATTCAACGCTTTTTTAACAAATTAACTTTTCCATTCAGTTTTGCTCTCATTGAAAATAAATGGAGTTATTTTCAACATTCTCAAAACCTTTGAAAATGTTTATAAATCTTTACTGCCCTTTTTTACTTTTTGTTCTGGTTCTGCCTTTAAAAAATCAATGCCGTTTATTTATTTATTTATTTTTGTTTTGTTTTTGCTTTTACTATTTTATCTTTCATTTTGCTGCTTTCTACTTTCTGTGTTTCTTTCAGCTTCTTTCTGCCAATTTAGCTTTAGCTTTTTATTATTTTTTTAGTTGCTCTCTATCAATTTCAGCAGTTTTTCAGCTAATGCTACTGCTCAGCTTTTTTTTTTTTGCTAAGATTAGTTTTTTCAATATAAAATTCTTCTCCTTCTTGCTCCTTCTTTCTATATTTCCTAATGTCAGCTTTTCAACAAAATTTTTTCAATTTTTCTGTATATTTCAACTGTTTCAGCTCAGCAAATTACAACTTTTTTGTACTTTTGCCAGCTAGCAGGCTCTAGTGTCTTCAACTCAGCACCTGATTGATCGAAGCAACAGCATCACGGCCGTTTGTTTCACCCTCCAGGTACCTTCGCTGTTCGTTCTGAAGGCCTGAGGCAGATTTGTGGGACCCTAGCAATAGATGATGCTCAAAATATGATAGGATAAACACTCTAAATAAATACAAGCTGCTGGAAGCTGTGCAGCCAGGAGAAAAGCTTTGGAACAAAGAGAACAGATATTTCAAAAGTTAAAAATAGCCTAATAATATTATTAATAATTATTATAATAAATATAAAATATCCTAAATTGTAAACTAGTGATTCTGATGGTGTTTAGGCCACCAGAGAAGGCTTTGCTGGCCTTGACAGCACACCACTGTCCAGACCTTAAGTCTCAAAGTCTTTTGGCTTATATCTGCAGAATCTGTGGTCAGTTCAGATCTACACGGTATAGGCCACTCCCATTTACGCCTAAATTATTTCTCTTCGATGCAAAACTTTCAAAAACTACTTTTTTCCTTTCAAAGATTTAAAGTTCATTCGCCGTGAAACTCACCATTCTAAATCTAGATAGTTTGTGGATTCTAATTGCTGATTAATTAGTGAGTTATGCCTTGTGACTCATAAAGAGAAGAGGGTAAATGAAAATTTATAGATAGTTAATAAACTATGAAGCTTTTCATTTAATTAAAGAGCTCAAAAAGCTTAAAAATAATGATCTTGTCCCCCATTTATCATACTTAAAAGACCTCCTCTTGCTGTGAAAAAATAATTAACTTTTGCTTAATGTTATGGTTGGGCTTTTTGAGTTTCAAAATTTGTCACACACCAGAGAAGATTTAAACAGTTTATTKRMAAAGTRGAGCAGACTTGCGTGACCGGAGTCCTCCTAGCGAGCGGCACTGTCGGGGAAATACCTTGGATGACGTCACCAGACAGGGGTGACGAAAGGCGAGGATCCAGGAGACAGAACGTGGATCAGAACCAGGAAGACAGAGGCAGCGACGGTGTCAGACGGGGGTGAGGCAGGAGGCTTGGATCCAGGAGTCAGAGCGAAGGTCAGAACCAGGAAGTCAGAGGCAGCGACGGTATCAGACGGGGGCGAGGCAGGAGACGAAAAACCAGGAGCAGGATCGTGACCAGACAGACGAGACTTGGCATGAGATGGCTAGAAGATTTACTTGGTGGAACCGTTCAATAATCAGGCGCTGGATGAGTGGAGGAGTGGAGCTTAAATACTGAGGGAAACAGGTGAGTGGAATGAGAGTGATTGGGATTTCAGTGACGGGAGGGGCTGAGGCAATGAGTGACAAAAGGCAGTGAGAGCAGGATAGACGTAATT